GATATATATATATATATATATATATATATATATAATGACTTCAACCAAGGAAGAAGAAGAAAGATATAGCAAGGGAAACCCAGGAGATGTATAGTGTAGTGAAGATGCGTACAAGTGCGAAGCCACAAACACACATTTGTTTTGCCGTTGTCAACTTCCTCGTTGTGACAGGTGGGTGGCACCACCTGCCACCCGATAATCACCGCATCTCGCATCTCAGCGCGCTAACAGAGGAGTGAATAGCGGGGGCGCAATAAAAATGGGACAGGGATGTCAATGGCTTCCCTCCACCTCGCTGTTTTTTGTTTGTTTGTTTGTTTTTCTCGCGCCGTGTTAACGGCAGTGAAGCTTCAAGCGGAGGAAGAATTGGGGGGGCAGCCACGCGCATTCTCGCGGTTATTGACTTGCTGGGGTCCCCAACCACCTCGTCCTCACACACCCGCTCCAAAAGAGAAAACAAAAGAAAACCTTGGCGGCAGTAGTGGCAAGCAGGGACTTGTTACGTTTCGACTGGTCTTCTTAATGGGAGGGGCCGGCGCCACGCCGTTGGGCATTCGAGGTGGATCAGGGAATCACTGAAAGGAAAGCAAAACAAAAACCTGTATACATGTCCCTGGAAAAAAAAAACACTCGCCACTTCATTTGACTTGCACCACCACCCACCACCATCAAGTAGAAAATAAAAATAAAATAGTATAGGCCGGAGAACGCGCACACACGCACACGCAAAAGGATACAATGGCATAAGATATATATATATATTTTTTTTCTTTCCGTCTATTCTGCATTTCCGGCGTGACCCCGAGTTACCAGAGGAAACGGAAACTCAACACATGCACATGAGCACCGACAAGGAAGTGAAGTTGGAATTCCGGTCCGTGCGGTTGTCAGGTCCGTTGCGGTGCTTACTCGCGGGGTGGGCGCCTTTAGGTGGGCGGGTGTGTGGGGGCCTCGCAACCGGCGAACCTCTCCGCATGGAGGCAAGAGCAGTAGCTGGGGGCTGCGGCACAGCGGCAGGAAAGAAGAGGCACAAAGAAACAAACAAAGACCGCTTTCACACCAGCCTCCAAGGCGGCATCGTTGGAAACTGATTAACAAATAAATAACATAACAAAGTTGCATGAACAACTCGCTGTTCCAATTCCCTTAGCACCACCTGGACACGCACTCGTGGGATGAAATTCTAAAAATTAGTGATAATAATAATAATAAGAATAACAGTAAGGGTAATTGATACTAGAATGTCAGCTGCCGTTTACTCCTCCCGCAAATCTGCAATGAACTTACTAAAATTTCTCCCATCACGATACGATATCTCATTGATGGGAAGGTAGACAAGTTTTTTGGGGTTCACAGTGGAATCAAACATGTACAAAACCACATCCCCTCCGTATGTGTCATACACGTCACGGGTGACCTTGCGCAGCATATTCTCACACACACCACATGGAAACAACGGATTGGGATCCGTTTGGGCGCCCAGGTTTTCGCCGTGGACAAAAACCTCGCGTATGGCACAGGTTGGAAGCCCCATAGATGCAAGTTTGCCCAAGGCGTTCTGTTCAGAACACCGTGATCCGCTAGGTGTACTAAGTTCATAGTTTACTGCTATCACGTAGGATCTGTTGCAGGTGCACCATGTATTGCTTGGATGCTTCCCCTGCCTTTCCCGGCCATTAGAACTCATCAACGCCGGGGACCGCGCACGCTGGCCAGCGTTCACCTGGCAGTGGCACCCCTCAGGATCAACATATGTTATCAACGATGTCACCACAGGCCTATTAGGGTCCTTTTTGCGCCAGCTAACATGAGCGTGCTTTTGACGAAAAGACATGATGATAGGGCACACTGTTGAAATAAAGGAGCCTGCAGGCTCCTTCTTGAGATCCAGTATGTTACAGTTCCGGTCAGGCTCAAATCGAGCACGGAGTTGCTCACATGCCGCCTGAACCTTCACAGGCAGGACCAATGAATAGAACTCCTTGGAAGAGAGTCCGATCAGTGACGAGACATTCGTCAAACAGGCTGGCAGCGACACCGGTGTGGGAATATCTGGGAAAGTGGCAAGAACCTCCTGCAGCGGATGTCGCGCCTGAATATCGCGGACGAGGGCAATGTTCAACCACTGAACGAGCCAACGAGGGTCACTCCTAGCGACAATGGCATCAAAGGCATTGCTACTCAACTGTTGCACATCGCCTACCGTACGCAGCCCCAATTCATCTAATTGGGATAAAAACAGAGGCAAGCAAGATTGTGCCTTGAGGATGTGCTTCAACGGCCATGATGCCAGCATTGAAGTTCGCTCCTCCGTTCTAATATCGGCATGGACGAAAAGGCAGCGTGAACCGTATCGGCATCTTTCATTGTGGCGGCAGACGATGGGCTGCGCAGCTTCAATGACACCCTCGTGAAGAAGCCCAGCCGCAAATAAAAACCCAGCTGTGGGTCGTATCTGCTCAGTATTTACACAATGCACATAAAAGCCACTCGAGATATAGAATTTTTTCAGATCAAAGGCGCTCAGCTCCAGCCGCCAGACGGAAACGTTCAAAAGATGGGCCTTATGGCAATTACATGGTCTTCCATGAAGACTTCTCGCACACAGCATAAAGCAATAATTCACCTTGCCAAGCATCTGCTTCAGTTCCGGTGGCGCCACATCCTCCTTCTTGCAAAGAAAGAAACGAAGCGGCTTCTGCATACGAGCCCCCGCATTGTTTTCAGTAGATGAGGCAGTGCGTGCATCAGAGTCTCGTCGGGTAGCAGGAAACCCATTAGATAGGTCAAATGGCCGAGGCAACTTATCTGGCGGTGGCGTGCTCGACCTCAGAGGCGACGGCGTAGCAAGTGGTGAGTCCACAGAGTCCGCAAGCTCCCCGCCACGGCCTTCCTCCAGCGCCAACACGACGTACTGCATGGTCCTTTTGGCCTCGGCGGGTGGCAAGTACGCCTTGTAGAAGCTAATGGAGTTCCATATGTTCCCTCCCGTAGACGTCATCTGGGCGGCAGAGGGTGGCAATAGAAGTGCACGTATGCGTGCGCTTCAGAGGAAGAGAAAGAGGGGGACAAAAAAAGGAGGGAGAGAGAGAGTCGGCTACGACCGAGTCCTCCCCTGGGACAGCACCCTACTGACTCGAGATGGCTAGCGACGTGCACCTATCCTGTGTCCGCCCATGCCCCAACAATAGACAAGAAGAAATGAAAAAAACATATATATATATATATATACACGAAGAGAAGAGTAGAAAAGGAACATCAACTTCCCGCATTGAGGCCGTCACCGCAACCCGCGCGACACCCACCCACGGGGGGTCCATCCCGTGGGGGACGGGGGGGGGGGGGTCGTGGATGGAGCCGCAGAGACACGCAGGCGCACAGCAGGTGAGGCGGAAGGGCACCGGCTTCGGCCGTGCGACTCCCCATTTCTCTCTCATTAACGACCGAAAACACAAAAACATAAAAAAAAAATGAACAAGAGACACGGTTGGGCACGCGCACACGCAACAACAACAACAACAAAATGAAACGGCCAAGAAACTCCCTGCCGAGACACGCATAAAAATACGGCGGCAGCGACGACCACAGCTAACAATAAACTCAGTACAAAAACAAACAAAAAAACGAATAAAAAGACGTCATAACACCTCAATGCCTTTGCGGCTGATCACTCGTACGAGGCGCAGCGTGCGGCCGCGCAGGAGGGTTGTCCGAGGGAACTCCGTTTGCAGTACGCGGCGTACCTGCTGCGGAAATCCCCCGTTCTTCTTCACCTTCTAGCTCATGCTCCGCAGCAGTTTCCTCCAAATTGGCATCGGGATTGAGTCGCATGTCGTGCACGTCACGCTTCAGTTCAGGAAAGCGACGCGGCCACCACAAATACCGCCCAGCCCCAATGCCCATCAATGCGGGGACAAAAAAAGGTCGAACCACAAAAGTATCAAGCAACACTGCCGCACCACACACGACGGCGAACTGCGAGAGCATCATAACGGATGAAAACACCATTGATCCAATCGTCAGAAACATGATGAGACCCGCAAACGAAATAATGGAGCCCGTCTTCCATACCGCCTTCGCCACAGCCGCCTCGTCAGTGTAGCCCTTCTTTTTGAATTCAATGATGCGCGTCGTGAGAAACACGTCGTAGTCCAAGGCAAGGGCAGATAGAAGCAAAAAGGCGAATAACGGGATTAGATAGCAATAATTCTCCACCTGCTCCAGCGCACGCCACACCGAATGAAGCCAGTTATACTGAAATACTATGACACCCACCCCATACGAAAAACCAACTGTGTAGAAGACTGTAAAAATGAGTCGAAACGGCAGGAACACAGAACGAAAAATGAGAAGCATCATGATGAAAATGCCCCCAAATACCACGCCAATCTGGATTGGAAAAAACTCCATCGACTTGCTCATAATGGCCCATGAAGAACTACTCGCCCCGAGAATTCCATAGCTGAACAACACATTATCGGCAGCATGCTCCTCCAGAATATCCCTTAATGTATTGAGGTACACATTTGCAGAGGCCCCAAAGGGACTTTCGGGTGGTGTAAGAAAGATGTAAGCCGCCTTCCCCTCAAGCGCAGACACTGTTTGGTTAACGAGGTACTGATACTCAGTATTAAAACTATAAAGCAAAAAAGATTCCCATGCCTTCAGCCAGACAACCTCCGTGCTCTTTGGATTCAGAATCATGTTGGGCGAGATAATCGACGAGTGCGGTTGCCCCGTGCGTGCAACAATTGCTTCAATGACGGACCGCATTGTGTTCGTCATGTCGTCCGTCTTCCAAAATGAAACGTCGTACACTCCACGCACAGAAAAAAGGATGTAAAATGGAATCGCCAATCCTCCGCCAATGTCACGCTGGATTCTTTGCAGCACCTCCCCATGCGGACTTCCTTGTGGAACCTGCGTGAAAATGTCAAAGTCCACCCGCAAGCGTGTTGTGAAGTAAAAAAAAGGTGCGCCAAAAGCAAGAACAGCCATCGCGGCGGCCCACGGGTGCCGAAAGGAGAAACGGCTAATCCTAAACCAGTACGACGACATTTGTCGCTGAAGCTCCAGGGCCTCATGGCTCGAACACGTCATTTCGCCTTCCGGGAGCAACTCATCTTGCAAGGCAGCCATAGGCTGGGAAGCGTCGTCGAGGAAGGCGGCATGCGGAGGGCGGCAGCGACGGAGCCGCCCAAAAAAGCGGCAAGAAATCAGCTTACACCAAAGATCTCTCCATGTGGGAGGATGTCCAAAAAAGTCGTAGAAAACCAACAGAAGGGCGGGCTGCAAGGTGAGGCTAACAAAAATGGCACAGACAACCGTGACACACATTGTCAGCCCCAACGTGGAAAGAAATGTGACGGGGACAAACAGCAAACTCCCAACAGAGAGGGCAACCGTTAACCCTGAGACACAGATGTTGTCGGCCGTCAACGTAGCAGTATTTCTGACTACAACCCACTCCGTTTGCGGGCTTCGCCCAAGCAGGAGCTCCTGCAGCAGAACTTGTTCCCGGAAACGCGTGAGAATAAAGAGGGAATAATCAATTGAGAGGGCTGCAACCACACCGAGCGTCAACTCTGGGGCAAACGATGACACCTCCAGAAAAAACGAAATTGGGTACATAATACTAAACGCAATAGAGACGGTGCAGGGAAGTGCCAAAAACGGAACCAGTAACAGCCGCGCCGAACCCAAACAGCAAGTTAAAACTAGAAACGCCATGGGAAGGGAAATGGCATCCACGCGAACCAAATCCTCCAGAATACCACCTGCAGCATCGCCCGAGACCAACTGGGTGCTGGTATACTCCCGGGAAAAGGTTGCAGCATGCTCAATACACCACGCATCGATAACGGAACTAACGGCAGGCATAACAGCATCACTCTTCACGGAAGGCGCTAAACTGAGCACCAGCAACGATGATTGATTGTGATCTCCGCCAATGAAGCGATCACGCAGTTGGCTAAATTCCGGGACAGCAAAATACCCACGTATATCGGTTACCTTACCAAAGATAGGACTACTCTCGTTTCCTAGCTGATGCGAAAGATAGTTGTAAAAGGGTTTAAAGCTTGGGTCGTCTAAAATGCTCCGCGGTGGATCCTGGGATGTGACCAACAGATACAAGGGGTCTATTGGCAGCTGCTGTGGGAAGTAACGCGCCGCCGTATGTTCGGCGTCGTAGACAATGGTTTTCTTTGGGGCGGTGAAGGTCAACCTTGTGTTGTGAACAAACCCCCATGCGAAATGCGCCGTCGCAGCAAGCAGCAAGCAATACAGCACCACCACCAGCACGGCTAGTTTCTTTTCTTTAAGCATACTTGCAGTGTCGATACGAGAGAGCGGGTGGGTGTCGGTAATTGTTCCCTCGTCCTGTTCACTCTCTTTTCTCCTTTTTTTTTATGTTGACTGCTTGAGTCCGGCCTTACTCTTTACTTGTGCGTCTAATTGTCGTGTGTGCTGCTTCGTCGTCGTCTTTGTTGCGTGCGCACCGCAAAAGAAGGGGGAATAGGAAAAAAAAAAGGGGGGGGGGGGGACAGCAACAGTGAAGGAGAGAACAGCTGCGCGGGTGCGTGGGAAACTTCACCCCACCACACCCCGGGCAGAGGTGGCCCGGTGAAACAAACAATTTGACTCACACACATAGACACACGGAGAATGAGGAGGGAAACGAAAAATGCGAGCGGCGTACGCGTCACTCACGCAGGCGCGGGTGCGTTCTTGCCGCCTTGCCGACAGGGTCGGCGTCGTAGTCAAAGCACGGATCCATCACAAATGGCCGCACCTCGCAATCGCCGTCCCGCAGCACGTCAAGATCCGCCGCGGAGAGAACAACATTACACCGCGGGGCATCTGGGGAAAACTCCTGCGGTGTGGGACTCACCGCGAGCCCTGGCAGCTCAATGTCACCCCAACTCCCATCATCGTCGTCATCAGCACCGCCCGCCGCATCCAATACCTCTGGACCGGCTCCCAGTTCACCCGCAGCAGGAGCAGTCTCCTCAAGAGAGAGAAGAAGTTTCTCCCTCTTTTCCCCTTCTGCAGGCATTGTCTCACCGGGCCCTGTCGCTTCCACTGGCCACGGCGTGGCCGTCTCCTCCAGCAGCGGCGGCTTGGCAGCTGGACTTCCACCTTCAGCCTCTCCGCCAAAAAAGTTGTCGACGTCTGGCACAAGGCCCAGGAAACCGTAATTCAGAAAGGCTGTAATCGCGGATGTTTTGAGGGCCGTAGACTCCTCCAGTTCTACTTCCTCCAACTCCACGTCATCCACACGCGTCAACGTCGCACACGGCTGCATTGTCGCGCCGACATCCTCCAGGCTGCTACCAACTGCGGCATTCCTCTCCTTTTCATTTTGTGCCTCGGCGCGGAGGGCCTGAACTATCGCCGTAAACATCTCGGCGTCCGCATGCGACTGCGGCGCGGCGCTGCCCCGCTCGCGTTGCTGCGACTCGCCCAAAACCAGCAAAGCGCGCTCCGCGGCCGAGAGCTCCAAAAAACTGCAAAGAAACGCCCCCACATTCTCATCCCTCGAGTGAAAAAAAGTGTGAAGTATTTCGGCTGTCCCATGCTCCGCCATTCTGCACACTGACTCAGAGAAAAACCCACCGCAACAAACGCCAAGGGCAGCGGAGCGAGAAACACAGAAGACGAGGAAGAGGAAGCCGTCAGATTGTCCAAACTTGCGCGCCACAGCTCCCTTCGCTGCAGACATGGAAGGGGTGCAAACAATGAGCCCGAAGAACGCAAGAAAGTCACGGCGTCTGATGTTGGGTGTCATGCAGTGCAAGCGAGGGGGAGAGGGCGGGGAGGGAAAAAAGATTTTGGGGCACATGACCGGAATGCTCTCGAGGACAGTTGCCCCGTTTTTTTTTCCGCTGCTAAAAGAAGACAAATTGTATACAAAGTCAGAAACGAACAAACAAGCAAAAAAAAAAAACAATTACAAATTCACCCGCGTCCCTCTCCCAACACACACACACACGCGTCAGCACATCAACATGTCACTGCACACATATAAATACATAAACTCAATCGTCGTCGTGTTGGTGTTCTCACTCGTGCCTTTTCCCCACGTTCAACAGACGACAATCAGTAAAGTACAAGAGCCGGTCAGCCCCTGCCCAAAAGCAAACCGATAAAGAGAGTCACATATACAAACATACCATCCAGAAAGAGAAACATACTTTGCTGCCATCCAGTAACGCGTAATACATTAGCTATGAACATACACGGCAGTTCTCTCACCCCGCTCCTTCATATCCCGGTCACATAATCGCGCCTCTTTTACTCTAAAACAGTGGGTGTGTGCAATGCCTAGCCCCCTCCGGCATTTTGCCCAATTTCAAGCTTTTGCCCTGTTGTTATTGTTTAAGCTCTGAAGTTCCCAGGCTTTGCAGAGGAACAAAACGGCGGAAAAAAACAACAACAACAGCATCAAGGGAAGGAGTCCAGGACTCCCCAGACAGCACACAGCTTTAATGTAGCAGGCGCTCTGCAAAAATCCTTGTCTTCTCTTTTTATTCCCCACCGCGCTCCTATCAAGGCCTGTCAGACGCCACCCCCTCCTCCGCATTCCCCCACCGGCTCCCCAGGAGGAGTAGCGTCTGTAAGAAAAAAAAAGAACGCCACAAGTACAAAACTAAGCAAAGGTGAAAAACACACCTCTGACAACTGTTACAACCCCATGTCAGTGGGGTTTTGCGGTTGCTCTTTTGTTTTCCCCCTTCATCTCGGAGGGGACGATTCTCCACCCCAACTCCCTCTCCCACTTTGCAAGCACAAAAACCTCAAGCACGACATCACGAAGGGGGAAAAGCAAACAAAGAGAAATAGTCTCATTTGCAGTGATCCTACACTGCAATTCACGACCACATACTTGTTCTCGTTGCACGGGCAGTTAAGACCACGCCACAAGAAGTGAAGAAAGAAAAGATACGTCAGTCGCCTGTTTGGGTTCACCTCCTCCGCCCACTCCCTTTTATTTTATTTTATTTTTTTTTTTGCGTGTCTGTCCGTATTTCCCTTCCTCCACTCTTAAATTGTTGCGATTCTACAGTTTTGTTTGGGCCCCCTCTTGCACTTTTTTTTTGTTATTATTTTTCCTTCTTGGAATGAAGGGAGAATAGAGACAAGAAAGGAGGGGCATTATTATTTTTTTTTTTTGCTTTCATCCCTCGCGCATGCACTGTCACACTTGTACTTTCCCCCTTCGGCGCATAGAAACAGATAATTGTGAATGGGCGAGCTTCTTCGCGTAGGCGCATACATAAAAAAAAAAAAAAACGCCCTCTACCGCCTCCACCACCCTTTCTGTGGGGAGACACAATTTAATTCGCTCCTCCACTGAACCCCTGCCTTTTCCCTAGGGACAAAAAAAGTAGGAGTATTCTTCTCTCAGCGCTTCACGGAATGGATGCTTGACGTGAAGTAGGCACTGGACGTGGGCGAGGAAGACATCGAAGTCCCTATGCGGTTGTCGTCGTCGTCATCGTAGTCATCATCATAGTCGTCGCCTTCTTCGTCTTCCTCCTCTTCTTCCTCCTCTTCGTCCCCCTCCTCGCCGTAGCCGCTCGCAGCGCTATCAAAGCGGGCAACGTCCGTTTTGGGGTCATGCAGCTCACGGTGGACGGCCCCTACCGGTGGTCGCCCTCGCACCTCGCTGCCCGTCCCGGTGGGGGTGTTGCTCCCGGCGTACGGTCCGGCGTCCTCGTCGGGCGGGGCAGAGACGCCGTACGGCGTTTTTGCGGCTTCGCTCTCGACAACATTGGGGAAGAAGTCTTCCTCCGCGGCGCTGTCGAAATCTTCGTAGTCCTCGCTGCCCTCTTTCTCCGCGCGAAACACCAACGACGAGCCGGCGTCATCGTCGTCCATCGCGTCCCAGTCCGCGTCCACAGCGCCGGTGTCGAGGTCGCGGAGAAGCGTCGGACCGCCCCGACTTCCCACCGGCAGATCCGTCGGGGTCCACTTCAGGTTGTTGAGCCGCTCCTCGCGCTCGCTGATGACGTTCTTGCGCAAGAGGTAGACGGCGGTGAAGATCATGGCAAACAGCAGATACACCAGCGCGACGTAAACGGGTATGAGTGCCAGCGGCATCCGCACCTCCTCCTTCCCACGTGTAATGCGTACGGCAACAAAGTACAATGAAACCAGTAGCATTCCATTGAAGAAAAATGCCCCCAGCGTGTCAAATGCGAGCCCCATAGCTGTTTTGACGCCAATAGTCCGCTTCACCATGCTGCGCATGAATGCCTCCACCACACGGAGGCCAGCGCGGAAGCAGAACGGGATAAAGGTGACATACCAACTAATTTGAATCCTCTGATCGATGCGGCGGCCAAGCAGAACCCATTGCGCAATGGAAACACCCAGATACAGCCATCCCAGCAAAAAGAATCCGTAGCACAAGAAACGATTGGGATTATTCAGTCCGATTTCCATCTGCAGCCGCACACGACGCGGCCAGCGCCAGACCAAAGAAGACAAATAGTACACCACGTCGGCTATAATAGGAAGGGCAAAATAGCTTGTAAATTTTCTGGACGCGTTCGTCGGATCATTTCTAACTTCAGTCGCAACCAGGAAACAAAAAACGGCGTAAAGCACCGTGGCTAGGAAGTTGCCGACAGCCGGAAGTCGTTCTACGAAGCGCATGCCCTCCTCCCTCGGAAGTCGCCAGAATAGGCTTACAATGACGGCAAGGGCGGTAATAATTACCGCCACAATGACAAAGACGAAGAGTGGGGCCGCAACAGCCAGCCACGACCAAGACGTGTGATCATCCACGCGAAGCCCCAAAAAGAGGAAGAAGAGGAGCAAGGTGATAAAGGCCAGCAGCATTGATCCACAATAAAAACAAACAGATCCCCTGGAGCCAATTAGATGCATAAGAGGTCCCCAACTTCCGCTGTGTATGAAACCTACTGCATCCTCACCAAGGGCATCGTAAAGGCTCTTGCGGTCCACGTCGGAAAGGACAAGGTAGGCCTGGTAGAAATGATGGCGCAGAGTGACCTTCCGAAATGTCCATTGTACTTGTTTTGCCGTTACAGGTTGCTCTAACTCCAGTAGGTGGTAAAGCCTCCAATTATCTGGGTTCTTTGGCTCGTGGTCGCAGCCCATTGCGCGCTGTCCGTTCCCTTTCCGCCACACGCGCCCACACACGCAGAAGCAGAAAATAGCAACCAAGCGGTTGCAGTGGCGTAATGATTCCTAGAGAGCCTACAAAAGAGCAGCTGCCTTATCCCTTGTTTTCCTTTTTTTTTCCCTCGTTCTCCTCCTTCCTTCCTTCCTCCGTTGCTAGGTCGTTATCCGCAAGCTTTCTTCTTGGCCCTGTTTATTTTGCCGTTGGGTATGCAAAGGTATTGAGGCCCCACGAACAGCCACCCCCACCCCCAGCGAAAACAGGAAGAAAACCAGGCACACAAGGAACCTCGTAAACACACCATAAATCCATTTAACACAGCGCAGAACCGCGCGAAAAAAAATATGAGGATGCAAATCCCCCCAAGCGCATGAACGACGAAAACGGCACCAACAAAAACAAAAAAAACAAAAAAATGTAAAAAAAATGCAAAACAGACGTAAAAATAAAATAAAACAAGACGAATCTCCCACTATGGCGGTGAGGTGGGGGAGAGGGGCGTCTCTATTCTAATGGGGTTGACGCCAAGAAGCCACGTTGTGGCACATAAGTACCTTACAGCATGCATTTGGCGTCTTACATGTATAAGTAATTTCCCTTCACCTAATCCCCTTTGGTCGTTGATGGCTTCTTTTCTCTACAAGAGGGCGGAGAATTGTTTTCTTCCTGTAAGAAAAAGAAAAAGAAAAAACGTTTGTCCTCATTATTATTGCCTCTCCACTTTCCCCCTTCTACTCGATTTGCGCATATATAGCTTACTCCCATGTTATTCCCCTCCTGATCAACGCATTGGCAGCGGTGGTCGCCCGGGGGCGGCGGAGCTTCTGCTCGCTGACCGCGAAACGTATTGCGGTTGGTATGGCCGCTGCTCAGACAACTGAGCAAACGACTTCGTTGGAAGTGGGCTTACTGCTCTGTTACGAGACGCGATGGAATAGACAGAGTCGTCTCGGCTAAAGGCACTATTCACAGAACCTGTCCGAGACACCTGGGCCGAGGTTTTTTTTTCGCGCCATTCCAGCCATTCATCCATGAGCGACGAGCCCAGACGCGGATTTGCGCCAGCTCGGAGATGCAGCAAATCTGCACGCCGTCCACGGCCATCTGTGGCGCCGTTAAGCGACGCCGCATACCTTCCTGGGCCCGTGTAGCTCCCGTTGATGGATGCGGACCGCTCCCACGAGGCACGGTCCCTTGTATAGAGGTTATCAGTGCCCCAGTCAGAGAGGGTTCCGTCCTCTCTTCGGTCCACGCTTGTGGTATACAGCGAGGCATGGTTGCGCAGGGGCGTGGTGTCACGCTCGCCGCCTCGCAAGTCCCGACGATGTTCCATAGTTCTCGCGGCGCCATTGCGCTGGCTCAAAGATGTTCGCAGCAATTCTGGTCCCTGCATTGCTTGTCGTGTGGCGGAAGAAGAGCGCAAGTTACGAGACGCAAGCTGATCCAAGAAGGCCTGTATTCGTTTGACGCTCTCCACACCGTGGCTCTCGTCCTTTTGCTCCACAGCATTTGTGTTCTCAGCATTGACACGGCTACCAAGCGGACCATTGTAAGCGGTGGAAGGAGGTGTATGCGTAGTCACCTCCCTCGCGCCTCTGCCACGCTGCTGGGGCCGAATTTGTGTTGACGTGGGTGCCGTTTTTGAAGTCTCCTCGCCGGCCGGCGGCAAGGCGCTCCTCCAGTGACTTTCGCGTACATTGATATCCAAGCACCCCTTCTGTACGTAATTCTTTGCTGAGTTTTGTCGTTGGTACACCGTTGACGCTGCGTTGTTGGTGCGACTCGGTAAGACATGAATACCTTCCTGATTGCGTGGAGTCGTCTGAAGAGGCTCGGGCTTTTGCTCTGCCTTCTCCTGAAACCTCATCGTTTCATCGCTCGAGTGCGACGATGCTCCTTTGGTTTCCGACGACGGCTTGGCACTTGGCACGGCGGAGGCATCCTTCTTCCCCTCCGTCGCCGCCTCCTCCTTGGCAGCCTCGAAACGGCGCACAGCTAGCTCTAGGGAGAGGGACTGTTGAGTCGGGTAGTAGCGGAAGGGGATGGAGTACTCCTTCCAGGCCCCAGGAGCCACACGGAACTTCGCAGGGTCCAGTGAAAAGCCCGCCACTTGTCGGCCATCCTCCCAGAGGGAGAAGCGAAGCTTGAGAGATCTCTCTGGCGTCTCAATAACTGTTACACGGTGAGTGTATTTGAGCTTCCTTGGAGTTTGACACTCAACAGCTGGCGTACTCGAAGAGAACGCACCGTATCGAATCTTTAAGTAATAACTCCCTCCTAAGAGCAATGGGGCTGGATTGTTGAGATCAATTGCCTCACTCTTGACAATAATCTGTTCAATATTCATTTCTATATACCCAGCTCCTCGCGTATTGGATGGTTTTGCCACAACCACATCCTTTGTAGTGGCCGCATTTCCTATGCTGTCATGGCGGTCAGGGAAAGGCTCAGAGGAGTTACGTTGGGTCACCGTAGCACTCGGTGGAGACTGAGACACATACTCTTTTTTCTGCATGTGCACCTGACTTAAGAAGACATTATCGTTTTCAGTGCCATGAAGTTGACGGTGTTGGTGGGGGGAGCGAGGGTGTTGGTATTGGGCCGTGGCCGCGCCCGGTTTACTATCTGGAGGTAATGCAAGCTTATCCGCCGCCGCCGCCGCCGCCGCACCTTGCCCGTCACTTAGGCCAAGGCCCGTCGCGGGCACATCGCCCTTTCCACTTTCTGCCTCCTTTGCCTCCAGTGCAAAAAGAAGCTTGCCAACCACCTGGTTGGCGGCACCGCGCAGCTTGATGGCGTAATTCTTCGCCGCTTTCCCAACATACGGCAGGGGGTCCAGCGTTCCCTTCGCCACCACCGGAGCGGGGCCGCCACCGTAGCTGAGCGGCTTCAGCTGGAAGGCGATGACGTCCTTGTCGGCGTCGATCTCAAGGCTCCCTGTGGCGTTATTGAAGCTGAGGGTCATGTCCGACCCCCGCGCCTTGAAGAAGGCCGCTGAGGTGGAGCCGCTTGGCTCAATGGGTGCCGTCGAGCGCAGCCGGGGAACCCGGCACCAGCAGCACACAAACCCGGACGTTTCCGGGATGCGACGACCCTCGGCATCCGCTGCGAAGATTCCAGTAAACGTTGTCACATCGCACACCAGGCGGTAGAGCGTGAAGTCCAGAGAAATCATTGGTGTATGGACAGCTTGCCACGATGATGATTGAGGGAATGTGTCACGCGAGAGCCCCTTCCCCGCCATCAACCCCTCTCTAACCCTCGTCCTCTCTTCTCTCCCACTCTGCCAGAATGATTTCCCGCCGCTGTGTGGCCTGGCGTCACGGTGCAGCGAGGAGAGTCGTCTTCGCTGTGGGGGAGGGGGAGGGAGTTTGCAAAGATCCCAAAACCCGAGGGCCGGCAAAAGATGAAAACAAAAAGGATGAATCAACACGAAAACAAAAACAAAAAAGTCAATGTTGATGTTGAGGAAACAGCGCAGCTGAACACAAGCAGAAACTAACAAAATCAAAAAAAACGCGTACTTCTGACGCTGTTGGTGTTTTTCTCGCGTCTTCTCTTTTGCGGGGTTTCACTTTTCGCCTTGGCCTCACGAGTTGGAGGTGGTCGGTGTGGTGAGGGAGCCGGTGCTGCCCCTGCCGCGCCCGCGCTCCGAGGAGGGCTCGTAGCCTGCGTCATGTGACGGCCGCCTGCGCCCGCGCGTGTCCGTCCCACTGGAGGTCCCTGTCGGCAAGCAAGCGTCATCCACCGTCAGCAGGCTTACAAAATCCGTCAAGCTATCAGCTGTTGCAAGCTGAGCTGCCCTCTCCTCCCCTACAGGGCGCTCCTGGGGGCGCATCAGCGTCTCGTCCAAAACCGCGGGGTGCCGCCCCTGCCGCTGCTGGCGGCGTGGTTGGTGTGACCCCTTCGACGTTGCTCGCGGGGCGTTCTCTCGACACGCGTCCTCTGACGTCAGATCCCGCAGCGCTTGAGGAGAGTACCCCGTAGACTCACCAAGGACGCCAGCCTTCTCCCATCTCGCCGCGCCATGTCGCAGTACCGCGACGAGCTGCTCCGCCTCCTTCAACCGTGCACTGAATGCAGCCCTGTCCTCCTCCAGTTGCCGCCTGGCGTCCGCATAGTCGCTCTCCGCAACCTCCAGCGTGTGACGCTTTGCCTCTAGCTCCGCCTCTACGCGGGACAAGCGATCGTAGACGTCAAATACAGCTTTAAGTGCACTGTTGGAGTTCCCCCGCTGCGCATCAAGCGCCCCAATCTCCTGCTCCATGCTCGCCCTGAAGCATCTTTGCCGGGCTCGTCCCTCGGCGTGGGCCTCCCGCAGTGGGTGTAGCTGCGCCAGCAGGTCCTCCATAACCTGCGTCATGCACTCAACACCGCTCCGTACCTCCTCCGCCTTTGAGGAGAGCCCGCCCGAAGTCAGGCACCGAGAAAGCTCACGTCTCACGTCTTGGCTCCATGCCCGGTAAACAGACTCCACCCCCTGCTGCATGGTAGCCACCTTCACACGGCCTTCCTGCAGCACAGCGGCCATGGAGCTGACGCATTGCTCCAGCGGAGCCACAGCCGCTTGGAATCGTTGCCACTGGGTGCCTATTCGTTCACTGAGCTGGCGTGTATTTCGCTCACACTCCTCCAACATCAACGCCTTCTCTCGGAGAGGAAATGCTACGCCCCCGTGGCGGGAAGAAGCACTCGTAACTTCTTGTATACCAAACAAAACTGACTGTCGCAACTGCTCCACTTGCGCTTGCAAAAAGCCCAATTTATTTTCAACCAATTTGGCCACAGAGGGTCCTGCAACATCTGCCTGCTGCTCCTCTGCATGATGGCGCTGTCGACGAAGTGCAGCCTCTCGCTCCGCAGTGTGAAGGCGGGCATGATGCGCGAGCTCGGCGGCGCATTGGTTCACTGCACGCTTTAGCTCTTCACTTTGCCTCTTTTCCATAGTAGTCAAATCCTCTCTAAAACGCTGGACCGCTTCGTCAATGGCGCGCTGGGCTCCTTGATGTGTCTCCGCTATGACGGCCCTTTGCCGCTCCGCGAAACGCTGCGTTGACGCGGTGAGGCGATTGTCAAGCGCCGTGCGGAACTTTGTCGCCGCGTGCGCCAATACCGAATCAAACCCGGTCCTACGCTTCAAACGCCTCTCTTCCTGAAAGCTGTGAAATTTGTCTCGCATTTTTTTCTGAAACAATTCCCACTCGTCCCATCTTCTCTGTCTATCATTGGAGAGAATATCTAGACGCTGTTGAGCGGACTGCACCACCGTCTCTCGGATGCTTCCCACAAGGCATGGCTTAACACGCACGCAAATGCTGTTGCGCATCTCATGCACGGACTTTTTCAGCCTCTCTTGCAGCTGGACAAGGGCCTGCTCATACGGCTCCGTTGCACTGATGCTCCCATGCATGGCGCTATGCCTCTCTTGCGCGGCAAGCAAGGATGCCGCTTGTTCCTCTAGAAGTGTCTTTAAACGTTTGACGTCACTCTCGTACTGGCTTTGAAGGGCATGCGCGGCGGCAATGAGGCCTTGCCTGTGGCAGTCCCTCATCTCCCCTTGTACCCACTTCCGCCGCAGTTCCAGTGACTCCTCCAGCTCCAACCTGAGCACAGCTGCGCGGCCCACCTCCTCCTGCTTCTCGCAGACGTCGTTTGCCAGCCGCCTCACCTCTTGGCACAAGTCATCTTCGCCTCTCTCCAATAGTTCGATGCGAGCTTCGCAAGGAAGCAATTCTCTTCCAGTTGCCTGTAAATTCTCCTGCAGGGACTCGTAGCGGTCCCAAAGCGAGACTCTGGAAGGGGCCGCGTGAGCGTGCGCCGCCGCCGCTGCTGCCGTTGCGGGAGCCGGGGCAAAGTACGATGGTGCCGCGGCAAGAGCAAGCGGCTCATCGTCATCAAGAAACGAGAGCGCGTCACGAGCGGTGGGGACGGGGGGCTGGGCGGGCCTCGTCGCGGGGCCGCCAGCTGCCGAGGCGGCGCCGTCCGCGAAGAGCCACTCGGGCTCCCCGCCAGCTGGCGCGCTGGGCGGCGGCGGCGGCGGTGCCTGGGCGGCGGCTGGCGGGGCTTGTCCGCGTCGTCGACCGGCCACAGGGATCATCTACGCACCGCCTGCGTGAGAGGGAAGAGTTTCACGCGCAAGCGCGGGGAGAGGAATGCAGAGGAAGACGACGACGACAGGTATGGGGGGGCACCGGGGCCGCGGAGGCCTGCAACCCTGCGCCGCGCAACACCGCACCCCGCACTTGACACACATGCACGCACTGAGGCAAGGCCGCGACAGCACGGTCACACAAAGAAAGAGAGCGAGAGATCGAGAGAGCGGAGAAAGTGGAGGTGCGGTGACTCCAACAAACCCACGGCAGTCGGTAGTTCAAATAAAAAAAAAACGGAATTCATGGAACACCTAGGCGTGCCGAGCCGCAACCAACCGAGAGAAAGCAGCGGATAAAAAGGGAATGCCCCTGGGCACAAGCTCATACTGAAGAAACGGAGCACTGTCAAGTAAACCACCTACATCGGGAGCCCCGTAAGGGAGACTTACGCGTGGCACCACACAACGGAGTAAGGCATGCGAATAAGTTGGAATGGGACACACAATAACAATGAAAGCAGGGGACGGAAGCATAATAATAATAATAAGGCCTCCAACTACATTCTTCATTTCACAACTACTCGGTGAGAAACGTATGCGTCTCGGGATTCACAGCCTCACCAAAGAGCAAAAACTCAGCATCTTCTGTTGATATACATTGATTTTCATTTGAGACACTGGATCTCCCCTGGAGTTTTTTGAATAGTATCTGCAACACCCGCTCCTTGTCCTTCCAACTCAACTCTGAGATCTCGATCGCCTGGAGATCCTTCAGCTTGGGGGCACTAGGAACACAAGAGAGGTCAGAATTGGCAAGCAGCGGCTCCTCCGCCAGAGGAGGGAATCGGGTTTGCAGGGCCCCGGTCACGCTATAGTGCCACTCCTTTGCGGGGATGAGACGGTTGTCCTGAGTGTTGCTCAAGTCTCGCTTTGTTAGCGCAACCAGCGGAAGAGAATTCGTGCTCGTACTCCTAGCACCAAATGGCGCTTCCTTGTTGTGCCACGGCGTGCTGCCCTCACCACCGTCGAGCCGCGAGGACGGTGTCGGTGGCAGCCGCATTCCACGATCGCTAATCATCAGCAACTCGCCATCGCGCTTCCGCAGCCGCGGCGTCGTTGGCTGCACGGAAGATGAGTTGGTCTGCCGGCAGCCAATAGAGCGTGCGCCTCGCCGGCGTTCCTCCAACTTCTCTCGACGGACCTGCGCCAAGGCATCGTAAAAAAACATCTCCAACTCGGTGCGTCTCTCTACCATCTGTCGCGACAGTGACCGCAACTTCACAAGTTCGCGCCTGAAACGCTCGGCAGAACACTTTGCGGCATCCCGCTCCTGCGTCAACACTCGTAACGCAGAGGCGTGTTCCTTCGCCTGTTGCTGCAATCGTCTTTCGTAATCTCCCACTACCTCGTTGAGGTTCTCCTCCGTCGCTTCAATCTGCGCCTTGAGCAGTTTCACTTCCCGCTGCTGCCGCGCGGCACTCGCGGTGAGCGCCACCTCCGTCGAGCGCGCTAGCGCCGCACTCCGTCGCAGCTGACTATTTTCGCGCCGGAGGGCGTCGGCCTGCTCCCGTGCCTCTTTTGCGTCTCCCGACAAAAATACCTTCTCCTCCAGGAGTTGCTGGTTCTCCTCATGCACCTCGCGCGTCTTTTGACTGAGTAGCCCCAAAGCCAAGTTGCGGACGTCATCCCCGTGCCGCTTACGAAGCAGCTGCTCCTCTGCCCTAATTCGCACCCGCTCTTCCATCAACTGCAAACGGAGCGTATGTGAGTCACGTGCGTGGCTTGCCTGCTCATCCGCGTAGGCCTTCTTTAAGGCCTCCATCTCGCACTGGTGCGTGTCACGGGACTCTCTAAAAGCGCCCACGCTTGCAAGCTCCCCCTCAAGCCACTCGATGCGCTTCTGCAGGCTCGAAAGGTGATAATCCCGCTCCTCCAACGTGTCTTGTATCGCCGCCATCGCCTCCGCCACTTCGCGCTGCGCCGACTCACGTGCCGCACTCATGTCGCCCCGCAGTTGTGCCCGCTCGGACCTCGCCGCCGCCAGGCACTCCTCAAACGCCTTCATAACCACAGCGGCGTCCTGCTCCTTCTTCTGCAACTCACTCTCCAACTTTTCGTTTTCCTGCACCAGCCTCTCATTGCTCTTCTCATAGTACGCCGAGGTAGACCTGGCAAACTGAAGCTGCCTATTTGCGAGGGTCGCGGCGACGAGCACCGACTCCGCCTCGCGCCCGTCACCGAGCGGCGCCTCACGGAGTTGCGCACTCCTTGCAGTGGGGCCGGAGAGTGGCACCCGGCCACCCCTCACCCTCCTCGCCGTCCCCTCGGCCATACTATTGGCAGCGCCCGTACGTCGCCCCGCGCTCTCGCTTGGGCGTCCTCCACCCGCCGCTGGGTCGCCCAAAAGACGTGGGAAGCGAGGAGCCAAAGAAAAAAAAAATAGCAACAAAGTGCCGCAGAGTCACAGAGAAACAAAGAGAAAAAAAAAGTTGATGGGCAGAGGCATAAAAACACACCTCTCGATAACACCATTATACGTTGTTGTTGCTGCTGCTGTTGTTGTTTTTTTTGTGCGTGCTAGGGGCACACAACGTCAAGAGTGAGGAAGAGGCAAGGCAAGCGCCGCTGAAAGGGCAAAAAAAAAAGTCAAGTCAAGCCCGAGAAAAGCCACCTACAGAGACATTTCAAATTTTCGCCCACAAAAAGAGAGAGATGGGAGAAAACGCATACATTTACAACTTCTCCTTAGGGCAAACTAAAAAAAAAAAATCGCAGTCTAATCTCGCTCTCGGGGCTGCCTTTGTAACAACATGCATCCTCAGCGCGTCATGCTCGCTGCCTCTTCCTTTAGAAAGCTCCAGGCTTTATCAATAACTTTTTTATCACTCACGCTGAACAGCACCCGGTCCTCGCTCTCCCTGGACGAGTTGTAAGTTTGGTTCATGGCGAGGGCGTCGTAGTGCTGCCCCTTGTATACGAGAAATGCACAAACTGTGTAGCCCTTGTCCTCCCCAAAACGCTCCATCCGGCCCCACTCCAAATTTAGCGCTATAATCTCAGTCTGAGTTGTGAAACTCAAGATCACCAACTCAATAGCCCCACCCCACGACGTGGGACGCCGGATCCACTCGGCATACTCACGATACGGCCGCTCCAGCAATGACTGGGTAAAGTAGTCGGGATTCGCCAGTACGGTGTCGGCACAGTCCTCGCGTAACTTGAGTCCGTCCGTGCGGCTCTTGTCCCGCAGCACATACGCTGCAGCATGGAACAAGCATGAGCCATCGGATGGGCAAACACGTCGCACAAAGTGCCAATTATCCTCGGCAGGAGTAATGTACCGCCCGTTCGTGACACCCCGCACCACAGTTGCCTCCCCATCCTGTACAAAGAGTATGTCGCCGTTTCTAAACAGGGACCCCACCAAGTCCGTATCCGCCGCAGTGACAACCTGAGGCGGGCGCCCGACGAGTATCCGCAGTCGCTCCTTTGCGATGTTTGAGCGCCCCTCCACATTGTACAGAAATTCGACCCACATGGTCGCTTCGTCGACATCAAGCGCCTCCAAGTTCGAACCCCCCGGTAACCGCAACCTAAGCCGCATCTCCCTGAAGAAGAACCCGTGGACTAATTATTTGACGCTGCAGAGGGGGGGGGAGGAAAAAAAAAACATATACATGTATATTCAAAAGCCAGTTGCAACAGCAAAATGACAAAAAAAAAAAGAGAGAAGCTGCACATTTAGTTTTCAAAACAAATTAGGGACAAAGCTCATTTCCCGTGCCTAGAACAGTTACAAAAAAACAACAACACATATGCAGATAGTTCGTGTCAAGAAAAGGTACGGCCCAAATGGGCTCTGACATCGTAGTTTGTACATGCAGTAAGGTTCCTCCCTCCTTTTACGCCCTCCTCCTCCAAAACCCGAGAAACAAGCAAACAAACAAAAAGGACGAGAAGACGAGAACGGCAACAATGGGGGGGGGGGAGAGAAGAAAACGGCATCCTTCGTTGCATTGACACCCAGGTCAATCGATCGACGGCAGGTGTA